AAAGAATGCAGAGGCAAATATCGCAAACAGGGCGGGAGGGCGGGAACCTGTCTTCACATTGCGGATCCCACCGAGACTGGAACTTTCCTTCCCTGGGGAGCCGCCTATACCCCACCTCACCGGACCCTAGCCAATCAGGTAAGCGACACTCAATGACCACCCCCTCCTTGAACGAGCAACTTAACCCTTGCTGAACCCGGTTAGCCTCTCCAAGACCCTGTCATGTTGGCCTTCCACAGACGCCTATGTCTGCTGTTCCTGGCCTGACTTTACATCAGAACTGATGGGGAGTAACTTTTAAGGCCTGGCTAGTAGCTCAGGACTTGACATTTTGAGCCCTGGTCACACCTATCCAACACCCACAGGAATACATCTCTTCCGACAACCACAGACACACAACCTTTCAGATACACAAGAACACACAACCATCCAGAAAACCACAGACAAGCAAACCTCCAGAAACACAATCTTCTAGACACCTACAGATGCTCAATCCTCCATACACCCAGAGACACACAACCTTCAGAACTCCCATAGACACACTTCCATCCAGACACACAAAGACACGCAACCTTTCCAACAGACACACAACCTTCCAGACATCCACAGACACAAAACCTTCCAGACAATCACAGACACAAAACCTTCCAGACAATCACAGACACGTAACCTTTCCAACAGACACACATCCTTCCAGACATCCACAGACACAAAACCTTCCAGACAATCACAGACACGTAACCTTCCAGACAATCACAGACACACAACCTTCCAGACATCCACAGACAGCACTGACGAGGCATCCCTCCACTACCAGTGTGCTATAATTTTCCTCAACCCATACTCTACCGCGTCTCTTCCAGGTGCACATGCCATGAAGAAAGGGGGTCATGAAAACAGCTGATTCGGATGAGTCGGCCCCACTGGAAGTGACACAGTCGAGAAAAATCCTGACTGTGTTACTGGAGGCATTGCCGGGTAATTGGATCTTCTTCCTGACATGTCTCTGAGTACTGATTATGCCACAACCTCTTCTTCAAACACCAGGATTTCTTATTATATCCAACCCCCGACTGACCTCCTTTTCTGTCTATACTGGGGTAACACATCCCGACTATCCACCACTCTAACCCCCCAACATCCACTTCCCAGTAGACCTGCGCAATTCATTTAGTTCCAAATTGTAATTCGGATGAATTTTTGGAAATTCGTACATTCGGATACATCCAAATTTATTTACTGAATTAAGTTTTATTTTGTTAAGCATCAACTTTAAAAAAAAAAAAATCCAAATGTTCGTTATCCAATACTACGACCCATCCAAACCCGACAAAGACTTGTCGCAACATGACAGCTCTGGCCCGAATGTAAACAAATGGGCTTGTTCTTATTCAAAAGCAATGTATCGCCTAGGCAGTGGAATCCCTTTAGTGGAGCTGTCTAAAAACCAAGTAACACAGTTAGTATCAAAAAACAGTGTATCCCCTCAACAGATACATCCCATTAGTGGGGCTAACCAGCAACTAAGTAACACAGTTGATAACTAGTAATATAAATCAGTATTTAATAGATATAGAAAAATCACAAAACATAAATTCACATACTACAAGACATTTAAAATCAATTAAAAAACAAAAATTGACTTCCCTTGGATAACCCAGTATGGAGTTAAGGGGGTGATGATCTGTTAACCACCTAAGTGGCAGATAGTCATTGATACAGGCACAAGTGCTGTGTTTGAAAAGTAGATACAATTGTATCAAAGATTACTCACTTCATGTGCGGTTCAAATGAGAGGCAGTCCCTGTGAGATTCCGTGTGAAGTATGGATAAGGTGTTCCAATGGAACGTAATTTATATCGGTTTGTAATTCCAAGAGATCATTTCATTGTAGTCCCGAGAACAACACTGGGTGTCTCTCACAGTTCGTTTGAACTGACACTGGCCCGCGGGATTCAAACACTTCCCGATCTGAAGAGGAATCAGGAGGTTTTCCCCAGCAAGTGGGGCCGCACAATACGATGGAGATGGTTGGGATCCCAGAGGCGATGTGTCCGAGGCACGATGGATCCGAAGTCTGCTCCTGATCAAGCAGCGTGAGCGAGCGGGCTCTACTCGGTCACGGCTCAAAATCACAGATCTTACTGCTGCTGTAATGTGATGGTGTCCGGACAGACTTTAACTCGATCCTGTCAAGTGGCAAAACTTTTTCATTCACCCAACGGCATATGGATGGTAAGTCACGGGTATCCAAGGAGGTCTAAGAACACGCTGGTCCTAACGCGTTTCCCCCCAACAGATGGGGCTTCCTCAGAAGGGCGTGTAGTCAATATCCTGCATAGGTGTGTTAAGTAGCTCCTTAATGAGAGTCTGATAAGATTCAGATTTGACACGATAGTATGCGAGCCAGCCGGCTCGTTTCTCAAAGGGTTTTTGTGAGGGCACCTGTGAAGCCCTAGATATATAACTCGGGTCTAACATTATTAATTACATGTATCCAAAGAGCCTAACATATAAACAAAATTGTATGTTATTGTACATATTATACATATTATAATTGTTTTGCAATTAAGATGATATTGACTCCCACAATGTTCGTCAGTGTACTACGCATAAAGAGCAGCACAATGGCGAAAATGCAGGAAAACAAATCCTTAAGGGGGCACTCAGAATCAAAAATATTTATCAGATATAATTAAATGAGGACCAAAACAAAACAAAAATAGGATCCTTTACATAGTTCAAAAATTAGATATAAATACTCAAACATAACATTAGTTAGGCAGCAATTGTTTAAATATAACTGCCGTTTAGACTTTATGATGGTAAGAGTTTTTATATATATGTAGATACAAGAAGCACCATGTTTGATGTGCAGCCAGGTTAAAGATAGCAACTAAAATTGATCATGTCATTGAGCCCTGGTGCCTCTAAAGACTCCGTCTGGTGAATCCACCTGCATTCCCTTTGCAGGAGGAGTTTGTCCCAATCTCCCCCTCGTCTATGTTGATGGACTCTATCCAATGCAAAGAAACGAAGTCTGTCGGTTTGTCAGCATGCATGCTTGTTCCTGGTCAATGACACACTAGGTAATGAAGAGACATTTAGGATGTAGATGACAGCCCCGGAGCCTGCAGCCTTATTAACAAAACTGTAATATCATTTTCTGTCCTCTACCTTCCCATTGGCTGAGTATTCCACCAATCAGATTAGTCGCCCTGTGATGTCACCAGTCTCCGAGCAGATTTCTCACATCTGATTCCCCCCAGATATCTTTATACAACCTCTGAATACATTCAACCCGGCATGGAGGGGCTCAGTGAAGGTGGTGGTGAAGGTGTGGAGGAGTCGGATCGGGTCACACAGATCATAAAAGGAGATCCACCCGGCCTCATAATCCAGATCTATCCTGACTCTGTTACTGGAGACATTGCCGGGTAATTGGATCTTCTTCCTGACATGTCTCTGAGTACTGATTATTAGAACAGTAGAAAGGCATCATGGCACACTCACAAACCAGCATGTAAAACAACTTGTCTCCCCACTAAGGACAATGACAGAGGTTTAGATACACGTCTTCTGCAAAGGATGTGTAAGCCGCACTGCCGCGCCAAGGCACCTCTTATAGTGCGGTCCTAACTCTAAACTATGAGAGTCTCCATCTTGGAGCACATGGGGCAGAAGATATCAAATTGGGTGCAGGCCTGTCAGGAGGACGCCCCACCTCCTTAAAGGTACAGAAACACACAAGGGATCCCGCACATCCCATTGGCAGAAGACGTGTATCTAAAACCTCTGTCATTGTCCTTAGTGGTGAGACAAGTTGTTTTACATGCTAGTTTGTGAGTGTGCCATGATGCCTTTCTACTGTTCTACTGTTCAAAGCCCATTTCGTGTGCACCTTACTGTACAACTGGTAACAAATTGTTGAGTGCGTTTGTCGTTTGTTTTGAGTACTGATTATGCCACAACCTCTTCTTCAAACACCAGGATTTCTTATTATATCCAACCCCCGACTGACCTCCTTTTCTGTCTATACTGGGGTAACACATCCCGACTATCCACCACTCTAACCCCCCGACATCCACTTCCCAGTAGACATGCACAATTCATTTAGTTCCAAATTGTAATTCGGATGAATTTTTGGAAATTCGTACATTCGGATACATCCAAATTTATTTACTGAATTAAGTTTTATTTTGTTAAGCATCAACTTTAAAAAAAAAATCAAAATGTTCGTTATCCAATACTACGACCCATCCAAACCCGACAAAGACTTGTCGCAACATGACAGCTCTGGCCCGAATGTAAACAAATGGGCTTGTTCCTCCCATTTGACATTCTGAGCTGTCATATAACACAATAGCATTCGTGTGCTCCCGAATACCATTCAGTTCTGGGAGCCAAGGTGTCATATGGATAGTATTAGGAGCTCCCGAATACCATTCGGGTCTGCAAGCCAAGGTGTCATATGAATAGTATTAGGAGCTCCCGAATGCCATTCAGGTCTGGGAGCCAAGGTGTCATATGAATAGTATTAGGAGCTCCCGAATGCCATTCGGGTCTGGGAGCCAAGGTGTCATATGAATAGTATTAGGAGCTCCCGAATGCCATTCAGGTATGCAAGCCAAGGTGTCATAGGAATAGTATTAGGAGCTCCCGAAAGCCATTCGGGTCTGCAAGCCAAGGTGTCATATGAATAGTATTAGGAGCTCCCGAATGCAATTCAGGTCTGGGAGCCAAGGTGTCATATGAATAGTATTAGGAGCTCCCGAATGCCATTCGGGTCTGGGAGCCAAGGTGTCATATGAATAGTATTAGGAGCTCCCGAATGCCATTCTGGTCTGGGAGCCAAGGTGTCATATGAATAGTATTAGGAGCTCCCGAATGCCATTCAGGTCTGGGAGCAAAGGTGTCATATGAATAGTATTAGGAGCTCCCGAATGCCATTGTGTTATGACAGTTGAGAATGTCAAATGAGCGTAACAGCTGAATGGGCCTCATGACTTTCCGGGTCGCTCTGCCCACTTGATTAAATTCTGGCCGGAGATCTCATTGTGCGGTGAGTCTTCCTCGGGTTCAGACGGGTCGTCGTGCGGCGGTAGGCATCGTTCATCGTGATTGACGCTGGATTACATCGATGGAGCAATTTAAAAAAAATATATAAGTATTGTCAAAAACTGACTCTTTGTTTTTTGTTTAATTAAAGGACTTTTCTCAAAAGTGTGGTGTCTTTATTTACTTTTAATTTACTCTTTACTGAATGAGTCGAAGTAACAACTACCCCTTATTCACTCACAAGGAAAGGGAGCATCTGGGTGCCCCATTTATTAATGGGGTACCCCGATGCAAATAAGCCCCCCTGCCTGCAGACCCCCACAACAGCTGGGCCAGGGTTGTGGCAGAAGAGGCCCTTCTCCCCATTGGTATGGGGACCAGGTGCTTTTCCAGGGGGACCCCTGGAAAAGCACCTTTCCAATGCCGAGGGGATGTGGCCTGGTATGGAACAGTGAGGGGGTGCTCGCTTGTCCCACTCTTTCTTGCCCTGCCAGACTTGTGCTTGGATAAAGGGTCTGGTTGGGATTTTTAGGGGGGCCCTTACATTTTTTTCTAATTTTTTAGGTGAGTTTCCGCCTTAGAATTCCTACCAGACCTAAAGAGTCTGGTATGACCTTTGGGGGTAATCTCATGCACATTTTTTATTTTTAACTTGGGGGGTCCCTCCCAACATCCCCACCAGACCTAAAGGGTCTGGTATCAATTGGGGGGGGGGGGGGGTTCATACATACTACCACTAACAAAATTACGAAAATTCAGATTTCGTCCGAATCTGAATCCCGAAACGAATTGATTTTCGGGCCCGAATCCCGAAAAACGAAATGATGAAAAATCCAAAACGAAACGAAAAAAAATTTCTATGGGCGCACATGGCTACTTCCCAGAAACTCTGACTGCTAATCACCTGAGGTTCCAGGACGCTCTCTGGATTTTCTGGACGATTCTGGCTATTTAATGACCAGGATGCAGTTTTCCTGTTATCTAAAATATGTAGATAATTACCAGCTGTGTTCACATCCAGTAATATGTCTGTAACCCCCAACACCCCCGATGTTTGCTGTACAGCCCAGATATTTGCTCTTCCAGCCCAGTGATATGAGCGTTGTACAGTGGGAACTTTGTCCCCTGTGCCAGAATGTGGATAGACATGTGTGCCTGGACATTTCTGTACAATTACCCCAGACATGATATCAGATATAACTGTGTGTAATGTGTGTGAGATCCCAGCCACATCCAGATCCCCTCCCTCATGGAGGAGTTTATCATGTCTCTCTCTGTCCTCATCATCTCCATCATCAGTATCACATAAGTCACCTGTGTCTGATTCCTGTAGGACAGTCAGTGGATCCGTCATGTTACACAGCTCCTCAATGTGACACATCTTCCTGGACAGCTCATCCTTCTTTATTTCCAACTCCCGGATCATATCCGACAAGTAGAGTGAGATCCGCTCTTCTTGCCCAGAGATCTCACTCAGGACTCTCTTCTCCAGGTCTTCCAGACGTCTCCTGAGGTCTCTGAGCAGGGCAGTGACTTTCTCTGTTTCACCAGCTGCTTCTCCTTGTACTTTCCTCCTGTGTTCCTCCAGACTCTGGACTCTTTTCTCTGTCTCCTCTCTCTCTGTCATCAGTTTCTGCAGAACATTTCTCATTTTCTTCTTCTTCTTCTCTGAGACCTTATCCAGAGTCTCCACCTGATGTCCTCGATGTTCTCCATCCAGCCTGCAGGACACACAGATACAGGCAGAGTCCTCAGTGCAGTAATACTCCAGGATCTTCTTATGGATGGAGCATTTCCTGTTCTCCAGGGAAGTGGTGGGGTCACATAAGACGTGTTCTGGTGACTTGCTATGGACTCTGAGGTGGTTGTCACACAGAGAAGCTTCACAATGCAGACAGGATTTTACAGCAGGTACAGGAATGTGAATACAGTAAGAACAGAAGATTTCGGTTTCGCCCAGTTCATGCTCTGTAGTCTGGAGGGTCTCCAATATTTTACACAGAGTAAAGTTCTTTTGAAGTGCAGGACGGTTCCTGAATTTTTTTCTACAATGAGGACAAGAATACCTCCCAAACTCCTCCTGTGTATCCAACGCACGACCAATACAATCCCGGCAGAAGCTGTGTCCACAATTCAGATTTACCGGATCCTTATAAATGTTCAGACAGATGGAACATTCCAGATCCTTCCTCAGATCAGTAGACGCCATCGCTGAAAGCAGAAGAGTGAAGATTAAACTCTATCAGACTTATAATATAGAAAACAATGCACAATGTCCAGGAATCCATATCAGTCATACAATTACATTAATAGTAAATAAAAGTAATTCACCGGCACACACTTGAAGGGTTTTTAAAGTATTGATATATTTATTCAATACCCAATGCCACATACTCTCATATGGTACTAACGTTTCGGGTCCGCACAGGGATCCTTCATCAGAGCGACAGTTGGTCAGAGTGAAATCCCTCTTGATCAAAGTTCCATTGTGAAATCCCAAATTCACTTTCAGCTACTGGCCTTTTAATTAGAAAAAATGGTATCCCACTTGTGGGGGTGCCCCTCAACATTTGAATGAAAGCCTATGCAGGATGTATTTCCCTTGCTCACCTCTAGGTGGCAGCAGAGCATCAAGAATTGCCATCAGTAGTCAATGGTGCCAAAAAGTCTGACTAAGCCTTGACCAGCCTAGTTCATGTAACATTTCCCCATAACACCATCCCATTGTGATACAAATAATGGGGAAACAATACACGGCAGCCATACCATTATAAAAAAAAAAACAGTTTGGTTTGGTTATACTTGCTTAGATGAGCAGACCCTGCGTCTCTTTGCAAATTTCCTGTGTGTGGGCCTGAAAAAAATCCATTAGCAGATTTTATAGTGTAATATACTGTATATATCTACATGGGCAACACATCTGTATACAAATCCTCCCCAACCACCTGGTACGGGGTTTGAAGGAGAATTTCTGATGAGTTGTGAAGACATTGCTGCTGGGATCCAAGATTTCTCCTCAGGTCCAAACCAGCCATATCCAATTTGTCCTGTGCTTTCTGCTCCAAAGATGGCAGCTCAGAGATCGGTGGAGCAGGGTAATCCCTAACTACAGTGCACTGAAGAATTTCACATCAATGGCACAAGTGCCCAGGGAACTGTGGGTAAGGGGTTGCCCTGACATCACTGACCATATTTGGTCCAAATATGGTGATCTCATGGGAAATGTCCTGTAAAGTCATTGCCCATATTTGGACTTAGGCTAAATGTGCTCTGTGATGTCCCCTCATTTGGACTAAGCCCCATATAGGCAAGGACATCATAGGGACCACCATCCCCTGGGTTCCTCAAGCAAATATAACTGTGCCAAGTATGGGAAATATGACAAAAGGGTGTTTACAGAGTGAAAAGGGAGGACTATGTTCTTCCTTCTGTGGCACATTTTTGAACATCACTGGACCATGGAAAGGTAAATATCTGTAAAAAAAATCATTTTTATTTTGTGTGGTGTCTTTTTTCAACTTTCTGTTACTAACATGCACCAGAAGACTGGTTAGGGGTCCCTTAAAATCAGCTCATAATGGTAGGGTTGCCACCCTTTATTACAGCAAAACCCAAACACTCTAGCGACGCACAGAATTGTTTTGGGGAGAATGAGTGGTAGCTTATTCATATGGAAATAGCGCCAGCCATTCATATGTAACTATCACAGTGGAGTCTATGTTCAGTGGAGGGGGGGCGGCGACAGCGTCTATAATATTTTGGTCTGCCCCGCCTGCCCGACGTCTTGTGGCTGGGTCTCAGCTGCCATGAAACCCGGACACAGCATTAAGAACATTGACTGTCCGGATGAATCCCAGACAGGTGGCAACCCTACATAAGGGTCAGAGTGCACACTTAAATTTGTTCCCATGGGGCGAGGTAGGCGGGACATAAGCTCCTCCCTCTTTGCCAACACCCCCTCCTGGGCACTGTAGGTGCCGAAGAGTCCAGTGCCAGTTACCATTGGGGCACCAACACTTTGGAAAGTGGGACCCCTTATTTGGGGGAGCCCCTATCAAAGAACCTCTGCAGTGCAAATGGGCGTGTAGGCTTGTATCAGTATACTAGGCTGGATATTTCAGGGAGGGCTGGACATGCTTTCCTCAACTGGGGTCTGTGCAATGTGCGAATCACCATTTTCAATTCTTTGAGGTTGACTTTAAAACATCCTGAAAGTCAAATTATTTATTTTAATACAGTCTGGAAGCTAATGATCAATTTACAGAACATTGTTAGGTGTTCGGTGGTAATGAAAGCAAATGTATGCATAATTGCAGGACGCAGCCCCACTATAGTCAGGGAGACTGGGACATCTGGAAGAAAGCACAAAGAGGAGGGCGCCTTTCCTAGTGCAAATACGTTTATTCAATGACAGGTAAAAACAATATGAATGTACTCACAAGAGTAGCATGTGAACAAGCCGTGGGACAATGAACAAAACGGAACAATGAGAAATCCGTGTGACATGCCCTGTAGGCCGGTGTGTGAGGTGTCGACGCGTTTCCGGGGCACGCCCCCTTCTTCAGAACATGACTCGTTCTTCCTCCCCATGGTAAATATAAGAGGAAAATGCAGTGGGGACCGAATGGAACTCTAGCGGCTAATCGAGGGTCAGTGGCCACATGGAAAATGTTTTATACATAAATTAAAAGACATTGATAAAAAAACTTTGATAAAAACACATTGATAAAAAAAAAACATTAATTTCTATATAAAGCATGATTAAAGGAGAACTATGAGATGAGTGATTTCCACTCACCTCATAGTTCTAGCCGACCTGTGACAATGAGAGTGTCACAGGTCGGCTCAGTAGATCGGGAGGTCATTAACGTGCATATTAGATTAGTGTATAAAACCGCATTGAAAAATATTAAGATAAGAAACACACACATACATAAGTTTATGTATAAAACATTTCCCATGTGGTAGTTGCCGGCCACAGACCCTCGATTCTTTCTTCCTCCCCTACACCACTATATCTTGATTACCAGTCCCCTGTCACTTGCTTTTTTGTGACTTACTGACAGCGGTATTGATCCCATCACTGCCTGGAGCCTGTCACTGACCAGGCGAGATTTGCTATACTATTACCAGCCCATCTAAATTGCTACCACCCACACCTGGCCAGTGTCCTATTAGCCGCTAGAGTTCCATCCGGCCCAGACGGCATTTTCCTCTTATATTTACCATGGGGAGGAAGAACGAGTCATGTTCTGAAGAAGGGGGCGTGCCCCGGAAACGCGTCGACACCTCACACACCGGTATACAGGGCATGTCACACGGATTTCTCATTGTTCATTGTCCCACAGCTTGTTCACATGCTACTCTTGTGAGTACATTCATGTTGCTTTTACCTGTCATTGAATAAACGTATTTGCACTAGGAAAGGCGCCCTCCTCTTTGTGCTTTCTTCCAGCAAATGTGTATTTGTGGTGCTTCCCCAGCAGGGGACCAAAGAGAAGTGAATGTTCTTCCTGCATGTTGCAGACAAAGTGTCTCCGGGTACAAAGTGTCACCTCACCTGTGTGTGCATTTCAATGTTCAGAATGTCTAAAACAGATCATATCTCATAACCCTTCATTTCCTCCTGCGTTCCATATGTATATAAACCCCGCCTCTCTTCTCATAAAGCAGAACAGGTTCTTCAACAAACATTAGTGTCTCTTCTCCGGCGATAGCAAATACTCAACTGATTATTGGTGATAGATTGGGCTTCCACACACCCCGTAACCTTTGCACACCTAAAGACATACAACCTTCCAGACATCCACAGAACTTTACAAATACAAAGATATACAATATAGAGGACCCCCAACGACACACAACCTTCCAGACATCCACAGACACAGAACCTTCAGGACACCCAAAGAGAAACACAACCTTCCAGAAGATCACAAACACACAAACTTCCAGCACATAGATACACACCCATCCAACACCCACAGGAATACATCTCTTTAGATACACACAAACACACAACTATCTAGAAAACCACAGACAAGCAAACCTCCAGAAACACAACCTTCTAGACAGGGGCGTAACTAGAAATCACAGGGCCCCATAGCAAAATTTTTTATGGGGCCCCCGTGATTGCTGGTTATGCCACTTGCATAGATTAGCACTGTGGATAAAAAAAATGTAAATCCCATCAGAATACTAGTAGCTGCTGTGCTTAGTGTATATAAACATCCAAAAACATAAAAATAAAGTGCCCTGCGGTGCTGAATAACTCTAAGGCTCCATTCACACCTGGGCGGCTCTCTGCGCGTATATGGCTGTACGGATACGTGCGGAGCCGTCCTAAACAGAGAATTCAATGCATGTCAATGTGCATCGTTCATACCATTGCCCCCATGACTATTTATTTATAAAAATAGTGCAAGCGCGATAAACCGGAGGATTCGGCAAGTTCGCAGCTATTTAATAGCCGCAAACAAGCGGCATCCATGCGGATTTAAAAACATTTTCGTCCTGCAAGGTCTTTTGCACAGAAAACCGAACGGGAACTGCAAACGCTTGTATTTCTCTGAAACTACGAGTCTCTCTGCCGTGATGCCAGATGGACTTGTAGTTCCTCCTTCCTGTGGATGGATGATGCAGCTGTGCGGGCGGAGCCATGCACAGTCATGCAACTTTCAAAAAAACCACACAAGCCTGCGGTCTGATTCTATATTATCTACAAAGGGTTAACAGCACTCCCAACCCTGCAGCAGTGCCTGCTCTCAATAGTAGTCTATGTCCGCACTCTTTGTGAAGCAAGTAGCTTCTTCCTTCTGAGAGCCAAGCCTCATTCTGAGGCTACTCTAGAGATCACATGACCTTCCTCCAGGAGGCAAGCCTCGTTCTGAGGCTGCTCTAGAGATCACATGACCTTCCTCCCGGAGGCAAGCCTCACTCTGAAACCTTACCCACTGATATCTTACTCAGAGTAAACCTTTCAGGGAGAAAATGCCTCTCTCGTGGACATCAGGGAGCCGCTATCTATTAGAGGGAGACTCCCTGAACATCAGGGAGACTTGAGATCCCTAGAATTGCACATGTAAGCTCCCCTTTCTTCTTGTTACCATGCAGGTTAGTGTCACTGTGTAATAATGCAAGTTAGAATGTTGTGCAACAAGCAGGCTGTTCTTGTGTGCATGGGGCAGATTTATAATGTCACATTTTTCTCTGCCATCCCCCACCTCCTCTGCCTCTCTCCCCCCTCTCTCCCTCTCTTGCACAAACACCTCTCTCTCTAACACGGAGGAACAGGAGATACTGAGACACTTCAGAAACTCTCATGACTCTTACTGTAAGCCGATCCACTCATGCTGGCTGACCCTGCACATGACTCAGGTAGCTCAGAGGTCCCTTTTACATGACCCACTTCCCTCCAAAGCCTCCCACTTTCCCTGTTACCAATAACTACACCACACAACAATAGGAATTTAAATGGCCACAGCAGCCTTTTATTATAAACACTTATAAATAACATTATAAATAACCATATTAACAATATTAACAACCAAACACCTGTACCAACTTGTTTGGTTTCAAGGTCCTTGAAGGCAATTGTACTCTATAAATGGACCAGTATAATGCGGGCTCCTTTTCTGCAACTGCATCCCCCCAGCCGTCATACACCGCCTCGGGGACGTAACTAGATTGCCCGCAGACCCACGTTGCTCCCCTATTTACCGGTCATACCAATCTGACCGTATTCCTGAAGCCCCTCCTGCACCACCCCTTCCACCAATCAAGTAAGTGACCTTTCAATACCCTTTTCTTCTATCACTCCTTAACCCTTTCCTGTCCTCGTTCCCCTTCCCAGCCTTGTCATGCAGGCCTTCCGCTCATTCCTCTGCTTTCCATAGCTCCATGCCTTACTGTCTCACAAGCCTGTTCTGAGGACATAGGAGGGAATCAATGTGTCCTCGTCCTGCAGACAGGTCCCATCACAGATCCTCTCCAGCCCTCCTGGCAGCTCACAGTGCTCCCTCTCAGCCGATCCAAATTCAGCGCGACAGAGAACAGGGGGCGGGGCTGAGTTTACAGCCACCGGAAATAGCACTGGTATCTATCTCTCTATGGCCGTTTGTTTACATTCTCGGCTACGCTGCTGATATGCCATAGCGACCCAGTTGGCCCACACGGCATCAGAGGGATGCCTTGGCCGGGCCCCCCTGTGGCCGGGCCCCATAGCGGCCGCCTGGGTCGCTATGGCGGTTGTTACGCCACTGCTTCTAGACACTTGAAGACACACAGGGGGTTATTCACAAAGGAGCCAAAGGATCCAGCTGTAGCTTTGGCTGATCCTTCGGCTCTTTTCGGCCGCCGGAGCCCTTCGGTTTGACTAACTATAGCCCGTACAGCAGCCAAAGGCGCCCGAGCAGCTCAGCCAAGCCGAAGACATATGCTTTGGCTCGACTGAGCCAAAGTGACACCTGAAGCGGGGCAAACGACCTGCGTGAGCTCCGCAAATGACAGCTGGACAGGGCCAGCCGTGATCTCACAGCTAGCTCCGCCCAATTGTTATTGTTTTCTTTTTTTTTAAAAATCTTTACATTTAAAAAAATATTTTTTCAACCCCAATCCCTGAGCAGGATGACTCAGAAGCATGGTTGAGGGCAGGTAATAAAAGGTCTGGGGGACACTGTGCAGGTCTCTCTCTTCTGCTCCTAGGGCCTCTCCCTAGGAGGCTTATGTGATTCAAGTGAAGGGCCTGGGCCTCAGCACATGGCAAGTGCTGGGGGCCTAGAGGCCTAGGACACCATAGGTACTTTGCTTGGGCCCCATACACGTGGCAGGTGTTGGGTGCCTTGTTCTAAGAGGATACTACCACTAATCTGGAGTGCTCCTTGGCAGTTGCAGATGCTGAGGGCACAGAGATTTCCAGATACTGAAGAGGAAAAGACCTGATGGAAGCGGGGCCGGAGGTAGAGTCCGCTTGTTGAGGGGTACCGCAGAGGAGCTGGTGCGAGCGTCCGTCTGGGACCCACAAGAGAGATCCCACACCCTATTCCAGGTATCTGTTCTAGAAGAAGCCAGCGGCTCTTACCTGAGTCCAGAGATAGCTACCCTTCTTCTATAAGTTACTGGACCATCGTGGCTGTTCGCAGTGTTCTAGAAGAAACCATTGTTCACTCTGACCGGATCCCGTTGCTATGGGCCTTAGCGGTTGCTAGGGGAGAAAGCAGTCCTTTGAAGAATCCGCCAGGGCATCCTACGGATCCTAAACCCTCTCTCTCCTGTTGACCTTTGCAAATAAATCTACAAAAAGACCCCGAGACTCGAGTCCATTCTGTCCGTGAGTGTCGGTGTGCTGTTGCTGAACAAAGGGGGCCGGTGGCTGGAACAAACAGGTAGGAAAACCTCAATTCATATCCAGCGGCTCCTTCGGGGGTGAGTGCTACATATGTATAAATTAAGTACAGTGGTGGACACTAATTTACTGCACAAGTATCCAATCCAATGACTTGCTGAAAAGGGCTGTTTTGCCTGTGTCCGCAGCAAGTGTCTGCTGCCAAAGCCCCATTGTGGAAGGGAGGGCAGCCTGTGGCTGAAGCTTTCCC